TATTTTTCAGGAAAAAAATTTACCGGTTATATTTTTTATCACCTTAATTTTATTTTTCAGAAAAAAATTTACCGGTAATTTACCGGTAAACTGGTATTTTAATTTTCATTTACCGAATTACCGGTAAATGAAAAAGTCAGTAAATTTACAATCCCTATCGTCGTCATCATTTGCGCATGCGCCATTGTGAGCCTAACTTTCATCTCGTCATGTGTCATATACCAGGGTTTGCCACACTACTGATAAGGATATTTCATCTTTACTGTTGATACAATTGTTACCCTGAGCTGTTTTGTGTATATAAATCACTTCCATCAAATGCAAATGGTGTTTCTGGTGCATGGTGTATATTATCCTGGCCTGATTAAATAAAGGTTGTATCTCAGGGTCTGTGGTGTACTGTGCCGAGGCAGTTGTAGGCCACAGCTTAAAATATCTTAAAATTTTTAATTAAAATTAAAGTTTTAATTTAACTCCATTAGAAATGCATTTGAAATTATTCAACTTTTTAAAAATATTTTAAACTATGGAGAGGTTAAAAATATTCGTTTTAAATTTGAAGAATTTTTCAATTCCTTGTTATTTTCAACCGATGAACTTAAGACGATAGGTCGGAAAGTTATGTGAAAGTGCCACTTTTGCTGCTGACTTGTGAAAACTCACGGAATAATTAGCTCCCAGGTGTGAAAGTTGACAGTTATTTATGATTTAATTGATAATATTTTTAGGTCATTAACTTTATTTAAAAGTTGTTACAATTTTTAAAACAATTTAAAAAAAAAAAGTTAGCCGAAGGTAGAATCGAACCTAGATTGTCCGCGTGGCAAGCGAGTTCGCTACAGGCTCAGCCATTTTACTGTGCTACAATAGTGTAAAATCGATCGGTATATGAGCTGCACTTAAAACTTTAGAGCCTTTTTTCTCGGAATCTTGTTGCTAGTGCACTTTACAATTCTTCTGGGTGGACACCCTTGAGGTATACTACTAACCTGTAAAGTCTCATCCCGAACTGAATTTCCGAGACCGTAAGGTCCCCTTGTTAGTCTTTTGACATTTTTCAGAAAATTTCCTCATCAGGTCTATTGTAGCTATATTTGTCAAATTTATACCAAAATTTTGTAATATAATGTTGATTAAACTCTCAATTTTTACTTTCACCAATATATCATATTTTTGGAAAAAATCTATTGTTTTCGTGACTAATCACCCCCGTATAAATACAGTAGACCCCTATAACACGAGTTCATATAAGATGAATTCGTACAACACGTCAGAAAAATTGTGAATGTGTTCGTATAACACGCTAAAAGAGGCTCATATAACATGATAAAAGAATGAGACATATTGTCATGGCCAACTCGTGTTCAACAGGATTGGTCGAATCTGGACCAATAGCAGACATTGCACAAACCGCTGAGTTTAAACAAGCAGCAGATCTACTAAAACCATTTATTATTTAATGGCCATAAAAATTATATTTATATTAATGATGTCTCCAAAGTTCAGAATTTTTCGCAGAAAAATAGCTTATCAGGAAACATGCACACGCTGTTTGATGAGCCGCTCTGCGACAAAAACAAGCTTAAGCAATGGCGTCTTCAAATGGTGCTCACTCAGTAAGTAATCCTACAATTTTTTGTTTATAGCATAGTTTATATGAATTATTCCCAAAAAATTATATGTGATTTGGAAATGTTGAGTCAAATTAGTCTAGAATTGATTAATTTTATGGAAGAAAACCTTTCAAACAACCATAGCTGCTAAACTGCATACATGCCTGCTGTGATTGGCTCATGTATTTAAGTGACTCGTATTACACAGAATTCATATAACACAGAACGTATCTACTGAGTTATAAGGGGTTCTACTGTACTAAGCTTCATATTTCATAAGTAAGGACTGAAACTTTATGCATTTGCATAGTAGCATATGTAAAATGTATACTGTATTGACTTGCATATAAGACGAGGTTTTTAATTATTTTTCACTGCTTCAAAAACCTACATCATCCTATACGCATAAGTGAAGGATTCTTTGCGTTTTTTGCAGTAATTTTTATCAACCGTGTATTTGCATTTTTTACCCAATGCTCGCCCTCTAGTATTTAAAAAAAACTATTTTATCTGGGTTGTTTGAATTGTTCTTGTGTATTATCAGGAGCAAAGATGAATAGCACTAGGAAAAGTAAAACTTTTGAATTGAATTCCAAAATCGTCCCACCAGTGGCCAAGTGGTTCTGTTCCCTAAACACTGGGAGTTTGGTCTTAGATTCGTGCCTCACCAGGACAGGCTGGCCATGTGGAGTTTTCAGGGTTTTTTCCACATCTGTAACACCTGAATAGGGGCCAGTTACTCTTAACAAGACCTTCCAGAAGGCATACCCCTAGACAGATCGCCTGAGTGTTGCATTGCTGTAACTTAACATAAACGAACAAAATTCCAAAATCACAGGTGAGTCCAATGTAAGTTTTAATCCATTCCTACATGAAAACATGATTATTCAGAGAAACTCATAAGTGTAATTGACAGAGTGGATTAGACTTAAAAATTTACAAAAAAGGTTCCAGATTGTCCAGCTATACATGAACAAATTATGTTGTTGATTTTACAAATTTTTTCTTAAAGTTTAAAATGCTAACAATTTTTGCAAGACAATGTGTGAATTTACGTGCATTTGATAATATTTTAGTTGTGATTAAACAAAATAAAATTAGATTTGTATTAATACAGCGGAGCATCGATTATTCGAATCAGTTGGGGACTGGGGTTATTCGAAAAATCAATTTTTCAGATAACCGATTATGTATGAAAAAATATATTAACCTATCAGATGTTGAAATTCGTTCAAATCCTGGCACATCCTTAAGTACCCTCTCATGGTCGTGCCAGTGCTGCCAGCTAACACACACACACAAACAAAAATAATATTGGAGTAACCCAAGACATAGCCAGACTGCAGTGCCATAGCACTAGCGAAAATTTAAATTTGCCAACTGGAAAGCTTTCGGTTAATTGACATTTAGGTTGATCAACATTCAGATAATCGATGCTCTACTGCAGTGTTTTTCAACCTGGGGGTCGCGGGTAGAAGAAAAAGACAAGTGTTTGTAGGTCCTACACTACAGTAAAAAAAACTAAAATTTCAGCGAGAATTACGGTCCACCTCAGAAAATGATAGTGGAAAAAGTGTTAAGCTGATTTGCAAAAGGAAATAAAAAGTAGAAAAGTAGAAGCTGAAAATTCAGATCCTAAAAGAAAAAAAGAAAAAAAAAAAAGGTCAACAGTTCCCTGTGCCTAATGTTATAATTAAAGAAAGTTTCATACTTTATGTGTGTTAAATTATTGTCGATTCTTCTGAAGCTTTCATTTTAATCAACAATAATTTGTCTCAACAGAAAGAAAATTAAATAAATAGTTAAATAAAATTCATAGTTTTTAAAATCACTGATATAGTTTTAATATGGCCCTAGGGGGGGTCGCCAGAATTTTTTAACTTGTAAAGGGGTCGCGTATTCAAGAAGGTTGAAAAACACTGCTCTACTGTATGTCTAATTTTCTTTATTTTGATCTTTAAAGTCACACCTCATCTTGTACTGTGACCTTATGCCTTTGAGAACCAATATTTATTGTTTTACAAATGTTTTCAACCTATATGCCTCATCCTATACGTGAGATCATCTTAAACACGAATAAATATATATAAAAAACCCAACTTAATAAATAATTAGGCTTTTGTAAATTGTATAAAAATTAAACACATTTCAGTACTTTAGCATTTCATCTTCAGATACAAATTGAAAAGAACATACTCAGAATAAAAAAAACATCAAATGGAGAACAATAGAATGTTTTATTTACATGTTTTGTTCATTTGTAAAGAGTTGAAGTCCAATCATTATTTTATGTTTTTGGCACTATTTTTAGTTAGTTATTTTTTTTTCAGGGTCTTTTTTTAAGGATGGAAACTCCCAAAAAATCCTCAATGTGCTAATTCAAAAATAAACAATCTAAAGATACTAATTTACATCAGTGACTGATCCTGTGATGTGTGGGCATGTAAATAGAGCAATACAGAGTTATACTGAGAGACATAAGATCACACACCCGTTCAATGGTGTGGTGTAGCTCCCGACAGTGACCTTCATCGAAGCAAATTGTCTGGCATTCCTTGATAAGTGATCAGCTTGTAAGAAGCATATTCTCTGCTTAAGTATTTTGGTGGAGATTTGATTGATTTATACAAAAAAGAATTTCTTTGATTAATTGTTTAATTTTGTATATAATTGATCTCAACTTTTTTTGGAATATTTAAAATATATACTTATTACTAATTCTTGTTACAATCATTGTTGATTATACATAAATAATACTGTTCAATCTAACAAATATTTATTGCAGATTTTTACTTATATAAGTGTTATTTTGGATTATTATATTTTGCTTCCCATTAAGTCCAGGTCTGGCACTTGATTTGAACCCTAAATTGTGTAACCCCACCTTATGTGTCGTGCAGTACATTACATGTTCTTCACTTAAATAGCTGTATTCTCTATGTTCTGTTCGTATCTGAAGATAAAAAGCTAGTTTCAAAAAGTGTTAATCTCAGTAAATAACCAGAATCCTGAAAATTAAACATTTACTCTTTTTAATTCTATGTACTGTAAGCTAGAACTTCTAGATAATATTACAAAACACTTTTCTCATTTTTTCTAGAAAATTTTTAATTTAAATGAAATAATATTTTTAGCTATTTTGTTATGTTAAACTTGAGGAAGGCTATTCAAAATAGCTGAAATTGAAAATTTGCTTGAAAAAGTGAGAAAGGTATTTTGTAATAATTTACTGTTTTTTGCTTCCTATATTTAATAGGCCTATAGCAAATTCTTATTTACATTTCCTAAAAGATAAAATTATTAATATAAAATTTATTTCAAACTTTTGACGTTTTATGATTATATATTCACATAAACTAATTTATAAATAAGCCTCAAGATTCTTACCTCACTCTCTGATTCATATTCTTCATCTGAACCTTCTTCTTCAGGACTTTCTTCTTCCGAATTCTCATTTTGCTTACTCTCTGTGATGATATTCATAATTATATCATCAATGTCTTTCTTCCTACATTAAAACAATTTAAAATTAGAAATATTATACAAATTACACATACAAAAATTACTATGATTTTCTGCAATTATTGTATTTACTTGTGTATAAGACAAGGTTTTTATTCATTTTTCACTGCTTCAAACACTTAGATCATCCTATACATGTGGGTGAAGGATTCTTTGTGTTTTTGCAATAATTTTTGTGAACTGTGTCTAGTTCATTCTGCCATTATAGCAGGGTGCTATCGAGGTTAAGGCAACTGTCACTTTCAAAGAGATGATCCGAAAATAGCTGGTCACTTAGCACTGATTATAAATGTAGTTATTTCATATTTGTTAAATTGGTATTTTTAATGAATATTTGCACATTCTGAATCATTAAAAATAAACCTTTTCCAGTTATGTGCATTATAATCTTTTGATTTTGTTACGTGAGTATCAGGTGAGTGGAAAAGATTTCCTCAAGAGCTGACAGCAAAATCATTCAAGAAATACTGTATTTCAAATTCACTTGACGGATCAGAGGATGATACTTTGTGGAGTGAGAGTGAAAAAGAGGAGAGTTGTAATGAAGCTTCAGAAGGCAAGTCTGAGTAGACAAAAGGTGATAGTGTCAAGAAAACATGGTTGTTTGCCTTAATACATGTATTTGATAATATTTTATTTGTGATTAAATGAAATAAAATTAGAACTGAATTAATAACTCTAATTTTCTTTATTTTGATCTTTAAAGTCACACCTCATCCTATATGTGAGATCATCTTATACATGAGTAAATATGGTATATAATTGGAATGGCTGTTCCATAGGCATGGAATTTTAAATTGAATTATGAACTCATAGCAATTTAAAATCAGCATATAATCTACTCCATTGTGTAAAATCTCTTTCAAATTGTCTCAAATTGCAGGGCAGGTTATACACATGAAAATGAAGTAATAAGTAAATTTAAATAATAATTTGATTATTTTTCTATTTAAAATAATGCCACATAAAATAAATAAAATTAAAAAATTATTATAACTAAAAATTCCAGGTCAAAAATAGTAAGAAAATTATATTTATTATTTCATTTTTCGTAGTATCATTTCTCAACGTATCTAAAATGAAATAATTTTATGTAAAAATTAAGAGTTAACATTATTATTTAATGTTTAGATTTATCTATTGGAATGAGTGTCCACAGAGAGGGACAAACAGGGCTTTTGCTCTCCCTAGGATCAAGTAAAAAATTCTACAAATTATAATTGTTAAATTGATTGAGATATGCAATGATACACCCTTAACTATTTGATGCAATACTAGAGAGGTTGTAGCCGAAGTTCAAATGTTAAACTTGTATGGCAAACAGGAGTACGTGTTTGATGTTTGAACTCTAAGTAAAACATGTTGCACCACACGTTCAAATCATGCACTGACTCATTAGATGTTGTTGAAAAATGGCGGAAACATTTAACATTGACGAATGTTACCAGCGAAGGTAAATAAACAAAGTAAACTATTTTAAAGCATTTATAGGATGTTTAATAATAATTATTTTTAATTAGCATCATGTCTCCTACCATATGATAAGACTACCTCATACTTTTGTTGAGGGAAGTAGTGGTTTATGTAAATTTGAAAGCAGCTTGGAAATTATTTTTAGAAAATTTACAAACATTTACACTGTTGATGGTAGAAGATGCTGTGAAAGAAACCACCTACTCCTACAGAATTATGATAAGCTATTATGAACAGAAATATGTAAATTCTATAGGCACTTCACATCACTTGCAAAAAAATTGAATAATTAAATAATTTCTGGATTAAAATTGTCTGTTTTCTTTACAATATTATTCATAAATGCTTAAATAATCATTATTTTAATATAATAAGTCATAATTTTAACCCCAAACACAAAAAATGAAGTTTAAGCCAAACTTCTACTTGCCATGCTAGACATAGTGAATATTATCAACCTTCTTGAATTGCCAATTCAAGAAGGTTGATAATGAATGGCAGTGCTTGATGTCCGACATTCATGTTTTGGGCTGAAAACATCGGTCACAACCTCTCTACTATATTCTATAAACTACTCATAAAAAATAATCCATAAAATTATAATGTAATTAATGATGATATCCAAGTTAATTAAACATCCAATTCTGTACTATAATTCCAAAATCTGTAATTTTGGAATTACAGTACAAAATTGAAATTTTATCAGCACACAATTTACTTAAATTACAAGTAAATTGTGTGCCAATATAAAATGAGACTTCACTTCTTTGTACAAAGTGTTGGCAAAAAATTATTTTATCTGAGAGGCATTATTTACTGAAAAAATAAAATTCTGTAATAAATCCAGTAATAAAGTTTGGACTTTTAACATGTAATCATAATTTTACTTATTGGCCTTAATTCTATATTTACTAATGGCATGTAAATGTTTATCTTGTTTTATCACCTTATAAAAGTATATTCTCATTTCCTTCAATATGTCAACTGCTATTAAATTTTAGTGCTATCTTTCTATGAGCTTGCCATTCTCATGCTCAAGTTTCTTTAAATTTAACTTTGCATATTTATATCCCAGTTTTGAATAGTTAATGTTTCATTTTTAAAATTTTATTCTGAAGTTCCTAAATTATGTTCTTTTCTTCACCTGAAGATGACAATGATAAAATGTTTAAAGTGTTTGCAATGATATTATAATAAAAATTGTTTAATGCAGATATAGTGGTTATCTTGTCCTTTAATTGGTTATTATTTTGTTACATTAATGTAATAAATTGGGATAAAATTCAGTTCTCATTTTTATTTAAAATGTTTCTTGATTTATGTTTTTTGGTCACCTCCTATTACTGAATCCTGATATTTGGATCAGGATCCTAATGCTTTTCCCTTATGTTCAAAATCATATATGCAAACCCAATATAAGTTCATGAGAAAACATACTCTGTTTTTCTTATTCACATCTACAGTTATCGTTAAATTATTATTGTGTGCTGATTATTTTACTAAAAATGTTTTTTATAAGTAACTAACCTTTCGTATATTCTTTTTCTACTATTCTCTCATTAATTCTCAAGGTGAACTAGCTACTAAAGATTATAATGCTCCTTTCTTTGGTATCTATACAGTGCACACTCACTAATCTAAATCTGCATTAAGCTGATTTCAACTTGATCTGAACCAATTTTGTTCATTTTGCCACTAAATATTCCAGAAAAAAAAACAAAAAATAATCAGCCATTTTTTAAACATGAGGAATTTGTACATCAATATGTATTACACACTCTAATTTATATACCAAACATATAAAAAAAATTTTCAAATACTATATACCATATGTATTTGTCCAGGTATGAATCCCACAATGAGATCTTAGAATTGGGTCATTCCATGCCAATTGTGCAAACCCCCATGCACACCCCCTTCCAGTTTTGTTCTAACTCTACAATAAGACAAGACAGGCACTAGCTAGAAATGTAGTTAATTTATAATTTCACACCTTATAGTTCCAGCATAAAAACAAATTTTATTCAACAGGCCTTTATTAACTGTTTATTGCAATTGCTTCATGCCTAGTTGTTTATAAGTTTTATTGATCCTTCCTGTAAAAATGAGTCAATAAAAGATGATTTTCTAAACAGATGACAATTCCATTATGACTGATATAAGTCTAGTGTTACAGGTGGATAATAACTGTTAATGAAACTTGGAGTCCTCCATCAGATTACATCCTGAAAGAATGTTTCAATATAAAACATTTTAAAAGAATGCTCGAATACAGAATGTTCCAAATTTAAAAAAGTTTTTAAAATACATATAAATAAATCAGAAACTCATCAATGTGTGAATGCAAAGTTAAACATACAATGACCAAAAAACAAATTACTACAAAATAAGGATAATACAATATAGCTGTGGTAATGAGATTTACAAACTTTGAGGTAAAAGATTTGAAGGGAAGGAATGATCATAGATCCTATTGTAAAGACTTCCATGCAGCAGAAATGGACTCCATGTCCTTTGTAAATCTCCAATTCCAATAGTTCTAGACTGTTCAAATCCACCAGATTTATTAGTAGAACTTACTTAACTTTAACTTCTGGTCCTGATGCATATGCAGCTAGGGATGTTACTGGATTTCCCTCCCAGTGGTATATTTGTATTTCTTCAACCTGCTGAGTAACAACCTATTAGTAGCCTAGACATTCCAAATTTCTATTGAACTTGTCATCCCTGATGGAGAACATGCATACCCCTGGAACCACCATTCTTGCAACCTTGTTTTTGTCATTGCTTAACCTTTAAATGCCCAATCTGCCAATAAATCAGCATCCATTTTCTGTTAAAATGTACAGCATGCCAATATATTAAATTATGGGAATTCTCATAAACCATCTATTATGGCATTTCCTAGAAGAATATCCTGACCAATCAAAGGTTCTAGAAGGTTTAATTCACATATTTTCTACCAGATGGTATTGTTTTGTTTATGACCAATAATTTTCTAGACAAAAGAAATTTACAACTTTGCCACCATTCCGTTTTGCGTTTCTCAGCTTGTTTGAAGTGTTTTCCTTGAATTGTGGGGTAGTATCTTTTATTTTATTTGAGATTTACTGCATTCTTTTAATATCATAAATGAGTATTACTTTATTTATTAACTTTTTAAATTATATTTAATAATTAATTTTTGATGTAGTACCTTTAGAATAATTTTATATTTAACATTTTTTAAAATTTAGCTTGTTATGTTACTTTCATAGTTATTTTGTTATTTATGCCTAGTTTATTTTTTAGTTTTTATAGTATGTAAAGCCTTTTATTTAATTTTATTAGATAGAGATTTTTCAGCTTTAGTCGATGATGTTAACCCTGAGTTCTAAATTAGGTGACTTAAATGTTATAGAATTTTTAGATTCTACAGACAATGATTACCAGTGAACAGATTTTAAAGTGCAAAATTATGGTCAAAAAAGGTTCTGAAGAAGCATACAGAAAGGTGCAGAAAAAGATGTTGAT